GGGATCATGACCTGAGCCGAAGGCAGACGCTCAACGACTGAGCCACCCAGGCAACCCAGTGGGCTCTTTCTTGCTGGGACTGCTGCCTGGGCCATGGGACCACCCAAGAAGCCAAGTTTGGGCGGGGGGAGAGGTTCTAGTTACAAAACTTTAGGAAGACTTTACGTGGCTGCCTATTGAGTCTGTGAAGAACCAGCATTGGACATCTGTTGTGTCTTTTGGATCTGGCTGGCCCGGCCTTCAGAGCTGTGATCGTCCAGCCTGATCTGGGGGCCGCGTCCACCCTCTTCCTACGGGAAGCTGCTGGGGTGACAGCTGGAACCCTGCTCTATCCATTTCCCACAGGTGGTTGGAAGCCGGGGCACAGAGGGGTGCTCTAGGGGGGCCCTGACTTCTCTAGTTTCTGCCTGAGTTCCCATACTGGTTGCCAGGTGTATTAATTTGCTCAGGCTGCCATAAAAAAGCACCTCAGATGGAGGGGATGTTGTTGAATAACAGATAACTTTCAGTCCCAGAGGCCGATGCCTGAGATGCAAGGCGCGGGCAGGGCGGGGTCCTCTTGAGGCCTCTCTCCTTGTGTGTGGACGGCCGTGCTCTCCCTGTGTCCTCCCAGGGTCGTCCCTCCATGCAGGTCTATGTCCTGATGTCCTTTTCTTATAAGGACCCCGGTCATATGGGATCGGAGCCCATCCCGGTGACCCCGTGTTACCTCGATCACCTCTGTAAAGGCCCCAGCTCCAGATACGGTCAGGTTCTGAGGTGCTGGGAGTCAGGGCTCCAACATAGGAATCTGAGCGGGACACCGTTGAGCCCACAACCCCAAGTTCTCTGTACCCCTAATGACTACACTCCAGGTAGTTCATGGCGATTTACGGAGTCTCTCCAGTGGAGGGGTTCGCAGGGATTCAGCTAGACCTTAGGGACGGACCTGAGCTGGAGCAGGGGTCCCTCTCCCCTGATTCCCACCAGGTTCTGGCTCCTTTTGCCTCTTGGTCATCAGTGGTTTCCTCTGCCTTTTCCCTGGAGGACAGTGGCCGCCCTACCCCCAGATGGAGGCTACCTCTGCTCGGGAGCCGGACTGTGTCTCTGGTACGAGCTTTGATTCGTGAGCAAGGCCCTTCCAGAGGCCAGCTTGGGCTCGGCGCCTTCTGCGCGGACAGTCAGGGATGGGCATGGCTGAGGTTTGGGCAGGGACTCTCAGCCAGGTCTGGTCACCTCTGAAGTGACCTGGAAACTCATTTGACCATGAACTGCAGCAGTGAGCACACTTTGAAATCGTCATGACCCAGAACAGACTCTGTGTGTGTGTATGTGTGTGTGTGTGTTTCCGTGTCTGTGTCTGAAACAGACGTGTCTGCGATAGTCCTGACAGTAGGATGCTCCCCATTTCGTTCTTCTGGGATCGTAGTATGTCCTAAAATCCATCCCAGTGGAGACGCACTAGGCTGACACGGGACAGAGTCTGCAGTTGGAAGGGTTTTGCCTGGTAGTTGATTGAAGGCCCCGGTAACTGGGGATTAAGGTTCAGGGGTATGTCCAGGAACAAGGCGAGGACAGCCCAGGACCCGCTGCACGTGGACAGTTCAGGCCTGGGGTAGTTAGTGAGCACGGCTCTGGATATGTGGTTTACCAGCTTGTTGCTCTGAGCTTTCTCACGATGTGTGGATTCCAGCCATGCCCACATGCTCACGTTTGCCAGGGGAGCAGGGGCCCCACAGTCCCACGGCGGCCAGCGAGGGTCCTGGGTTAGGGCTCTCCTCACAGCCACAGTGAACAGTGACCTTGTCCGGGGCAGGACGCATCAGAGAAGACAGGGCCAGGTTTACACTGGCTCTCGCCATCAGGAGTAAAGGGTGTCGAACTCACACACACGCAGGGAGCCCGAGCCAAGTGTTCTAGGATGTGTTCCAGGCCTCGGGGTTATTTTTTGGCTGAACAAGGGGATGCCTCTTTTGTAACATTGGGATGAAGGGAGGTAGCCAAGTTGGACCAGGCTGGCGTGTGCCGAAGCGTCAGCGTGCCCGCCGGAGCATCCCACGCCCGCGTGACCGTCAGCGCCTGGTAGGCTCAGGGCCTCCTCAGACCTGTGTGGCAGCCCAGGGTGGCTCTGCCGCTGCCCGGGAGCTCCCACCATGCGTGGCTTGTGAATGTGGTTCTTGCTGATGGACACACTTGCACTCTGGCCCTGCCGCTCGGGAGCTGGGTGACTTTGCTCAGGTTTCTTAAATGATCCTCAGGTCCTTCCAGGCACAGGGGTGGGACC